TGATCTTGAATTTCATCACTTGATAATAAATTTCCATAATACTGAAGTTGATTTTTAGTATTTGATATATAATAAGAATGAATTTTTGTCATCATAGAAATTCTATTAGGACTTAGCTTTGTTCTTCTTTGCCTATAGAACTATCTCAATACAGAAAAGATTCTTTTACAATTGATTGAATATGATATAATGTTAAGTAACTTGAAAGCAATTCTTTGTAAATGCACAGGTCTTTCAGAACAAGTCATTCACCAAATTTCAGGAGTATCTCTTGTAGTATCATAAGGTAAATCATATGATGATTTTTTGAGTCAATATTTTCGTATTTGAAAAATAAATACCAAAATTGCTTGTTCATCGCCTCCCATTTTTTTGAGTAGATCATCAGCATAAAAGCAATTTTTTCTGAAATAACTGTTATGTAATCCACAACCTTAAATATAAAATTAAATTAATAAATTAAATATAATAGTAAATATAAGATTCAATAACTTACCACAATATAAAGAATATAAAAAATAAGTCAATACAAATACTAAATATTCAAATTCATTTCATCTTTTGTTAAATTGATCAATACAATAATTCCAAAAATCCTCTGAAATCGGAATAGAAATAGAAATATGATTGATAATATAAGTCAGTTGACATAATTGAACAAAACAGTCAACTAAAGTTGTTGTTTTGGATTTTAAAACTAAAATTGTATTCTTGATTGGTTTAAGAATTGTAATCATCTGACATATGTCTTCAAAAAACCCTCTTGTTGTAATAATTTCTACACAATTATTGCTTAATATCCCAGGTTTATTATCCAAGATCTAATAATTAAAATTTAAAATTAATAATTAATATTAATATTAAATTAATAAAAATTTAAATACTTATATCTTCAAATGCTAATCGAAGTCTAATAATTGATTCACAACAATCATACATTATTGACCATCTTGTTTTGGTTGATGTTTTGATACCTCCATTCTTAATTTTTAATTTATTAATAGATTCCCGAAGTGTACTCATCCCTTGATGTGATCTCAAAAAAAAATGATATCAATGTTTGACACTTATTAATTGTATTAATGGCAACTGATACTTGTATATATCCTTGGAAATCAAATTGATATGATGTGCAATACACCACATAGTAATAATTTGCAGATATTTTTCACCAATAAGATTTTGCATGACCTTACGGTTAGCCACTTCATTTGTAATTAATTCTACAATTTTATTTTCTCCAATAGTATTGATGATTTTTTCAATATAATTGACCAAAAACTCTCCAATAATGCTTTTTGATGATACATCTTTAATAACCCAAAGATATTCATGTCTATTAGGTGTCATCAAAATAAAATTATATAATTGGCAATTGCTGGGATCTGTCCATCCATCCAAAGCAATTGTAATATTTTCTTCTGATTGTGATTCCTTTTGAATTTTAATTGTGATTGCTGTTGTCTCTGAGTGAAAAATATTTATGGAAATTGTTATGTGACATGGTGGATCATAAGCTGGACTAAGGATCCTAACGATTCTCTTTGATTCTATATTCGATTTTCAAGTTTATATTAAATTTAATAGGTGGGGTATACCCCACCATCATTTTTAATAATGTTTCGAATCTCATGCGATTCTGTTCGATTCTATTCGATTCCAATTTTCAGAACCATAAGCTGGACAAAGCTGTTTACAAAATTCAATAAAAAATGTGTAGTCTATAATTGCAAAAGGAATTGTACAGATAACAAAAAATCTTCCTAATGCTGTATTAATTGCATTTCTTTTAATATCAGTTAACTTGGTACTTTCTATAAAATTACTTAATGGAGATTGTTTTGGATCTAATTTGGTTTTTTTGATGAGTTTTTTTTTGTTCTCAACTGTTCTATTAGCAATTGTTTTCAAAAATTCATTTCAAATTTCAATTGGACAAAATATACACTTACTTGCTAAATGGTCTTCAAGAATATTTGGTTTACCCTCTAATATTTTTTGTCACAATAATGACATGTTGCTGAAAAGTGTCCATGACTTTTATCAATAGCTGTTTTATAAAAATGTTACCAGGCTGATAATTCTGGTTACCCAACTGTATTTTTGGATGATGAGGAAACTGTTTGATTATCATTACTTTGCATTTTTAATGAATGAATGGATAGAAAAATAATAAATTTGTTATTTTTGTTTTTTTCTATTTTTTTAAATTTAATTGATTAATAATTGCATTACAATTTCAGCATTGTAACACAGTTGCGACAAATTTGATAATTGCAGCAAACCACATGATTGCGTCATATTAATTTAATTGCAGTACAATTGTGGCAAATTTGATAATTGCAACAAATCACATGATTGCGTCATATTGATTTAATTGCAGCAAATTTATATAATTGTACTACAATTGCTGCACTATAAAAATTTCAAATAATTGAGTCAATTGTAAAATAATTTTAGTCACATGTATATGCAGCACCCTGTATTAATATCTATTTCATTTATTTCAGTTGACCTTTCAGTCCTTCATTTGTTCTAATCTTTACTTGATTTTTCTTGAATAGTATTAGTGGTTCTACATATTGAATCAACTGTTCTGTAGGGTCTGGACAATCAAGGTGCCATTCAGCACTGTAATTAGATTTATTATACATTTTCATAATAAGGTGTTCTTCTTCCCCTTCAATTCTTTTTTAGCTCTTGTACATTATTAACATATCTTTTATCATTATGATATCTTGCTTGTTTATACTCACTTCTCTGATAAGTCCATATTTTTCTTCTGGTCTCTTTCTTTCTTCTCTTCAGTTTCATTGATCTTAACTAATCTCTTTTCAACCACTATTGATATTTCTTTAACTTGAAAGAAAGACACTGCAGAGTTTAAGATCTTTAGTTATGCCTTATCATCAGAGTTGAAATCATTATTTGCCTCCCTTGTCACTTCTTCTTCTTCTTCAAAGGATATTAATTACTCTTTTTTATCTTTCTCTATTTTTTTTTTCTTATTTGAATCTTCATTTCATAAAACATTTTTATTATCTATATAAGATCCCTTACTGCCAATCTTGTTGGTAAATATTCTTTTAGAGTAATCATCATTTGGGATTGATAGCTTTTTCTCACAAATATTAACATCAAATTCTTTTCTAGATTGTATTCTCTTCTAGTTCAAATTATACAAATCCTATTTAATAATTATACTCTCTGACAGAATGTTATCAGTACTATTGCGAAAGGATGGCTTTATCACAGCCAAATTCTTTTTTCCACTTTTTATTTTATCCATGTCATTCCTTATAGTCTGATTCCTCATGTGATATCTCTTGATTTTGGACTTAATGCAGGTATCAGGTATGTTATAGTTTATTTTCTTTTCGTGCACCTACTGAGTTAATTTATGAATATAGTCCTTCATCCTTCACTCCTTGTTTCATTTTTTTTTTGACATTGGCTTCAGCCTCCATGGCTATTTTAAATACTTCTATCAGATTCATTGCATTTCTTACAGTAGGTATGGATAATAGGTTTTCCCTTAATTCAAGCACAAGTATCTATTTGGCTGCCTTCTTATGATAGTTGCCCTTAGGATTAATCTTTTCGAGTAGCTTCACAAATCTTTGGATATATTCGATTACTTTTTGTTCTTTTCTTGTTGTATGTTTTCCAATTTTTCTTCCTACCGGCACTATTGCTTGAGTATCACAAAGTGTTGCATAAATGTTGGCACAAAACTCTCTTTGCAGTTGTATTTGTCATTCCAACAAGTGAAACAATGTCAGTTCTTTTCATATCAATTCAGCACAACTTCTTCAAGATACTCACCTACTCTTCTTAGTTTTCTATTGTCTATCTAGTTATCTTATTTGGTGACATCATTATAAAGCCTTATTTATAATCATGGATTTTCCCTTACTCCATCTTCAAATCTTTGAATTATGAGTTTTTAAGTTCTTCCTTCTTCAACATTTGTCTTCCATTTTCAGTCTGTTTGTATATTTAGTAATTCTTTGGGATATTATATTATGAAAGGATAAGGAAATCAAATTTCTTATCATCTGTTGTGTCATATTCAATATCATACATCATTAGCTATAATGGGCTTATCACGAGTCTTATATGATCATCCTAAAGAAGATAACATCTTGTTTTTTTGATGATTAAAGAAGGCAATGTCTTGTTTTCTTGACAATCTCTGAATTTACTAATAGTTTGTGAAGATTTCTTTTCTTTTTTATCTTACTCACAACTTACACAATCTTCGTTTATGCAATTTTTTGAAGGGGTAACAAGTATTCCTATCTTACAGTCACTATCAAATATTATCATTACTGGCAAGTCTGTTGCTAAAACGGTTCACTCTTTATGTGACAATAATATGAATGCTTGAATTTTGGCACTAAATAAGATAAGGCTTTAACTCTGAGGTAGATTATGATTTGACTGACTTTTATACACTGGCTAATTCCTTCTTGACTGTCTTTTCCTAGGCATGTCTTAAGATTACAAATGTCACTCTTTTACGGTGCTTAACAGTAATGTTGTGTTTCTTTTTCATAAAAATTACTTTATTATAATGGTATAGACTTTTTTTTTTTTTTTTTTAAACGGATGGTTTACACCTTTATTCAAATTATATTGAAATATACTGTACATTAATTTCCTTGTCGATACTCAATGCATCTAGAGGTAACTAACTTAAACTTGTGGCATAAATTTGAATATCACTAA